AATTGGAAGAGTCCAATCTTGCCTACAATGGGAGACTGGAGATTGAAAGTTTCCTATCTTGCTGAAATGGCAAAGATTTCGGCTTTTTTGAAAAGCCACTCGAATGAACAATTTTTATCAATATGGAGAAGATGGGTTGTTTATATTCAGAAGAAACATGGTGTGGTAGAATATAATTTAGGTTTCTAGATTTTTTTTTTGTATTTTAATTGTGGAGTATAATGTGGTAGAATAGAATTTAGGTTTTTTTTAGATTTTTCTTTATTATGACTTTGTTTATTTTATTTTTTTATTTTCTTGTGTATTAAGATATATTGCGGAGTTAGAGATATTAGTATATGTTTACTTTTATATGAATATTATCCTGGGATTTGGTTTGGGAAGTCGGGGGGGTGGGGGGCTTATAATTCTTATTGTGTTTACTTATGTTTAACTGTTTTTTATTGTAAAACAATAAAACTTTTTTTGGGGAAAAAAAAAAAAGATTCCTTAAGGTAAACAATGCCTCCAAGTTCTTTGAAGAGTTTCATCTGTCGGAACCATGACAGCTTGTTTATCAAGTCTCTCTGACCAGAAGAATTTTAATTTTGTGCCAATAAAAGTGTGTTATCCACACTATTGTGGTACAAAGGGGGGATTTGTGGGAAGTCAGCTCCCCCAGAGAAGGAAATATTAAAAGGGCAGAATATTATATTTCCTCAAAGGAACTTAAAGACGCAGAAAAGCATGCCCAGTTTTTTTTAATAGCCCCAAATCTCCCTCCCCCATGCAGAGGTGATAATCCATTCAGGAAGGTTGGAGTCCTCCAGCTAGAAGCTTAGGAAGACAAAGACCTAAAATCTACATACCTCACCCAAACACAGGAAATACAAAGCCTCAAACAGGAACAGGAAACAACCTCAAGAACCCCAGAGGGTATAAAAACCCACTCCCTACATGTGCTCTCTCTCTCTCTTCTTCCAGAGCCATCTTTCTGTCTGGCTCTCCTCTTCAATAAACTACAACCTTCTTTCTAAAGCAGTCGCCATGTTGTTTATTCCAGGCTTGGACTGATGAAGACTTTTCCTTCAGCAGTGGCAATGCCGTCACCTGCGTGTGGCGTGCCTCTGCCCACTGCTGCTCATGGCATTGCTGCCCCCTGGGCAAGGTTCGTGGCAACACCGCCGCCTGCACAATATTAGCGGCACTGCCACCTCCCGCACAACACTCGAGGGTGGCACGAGGGTGGGGTAAGCACGCACACATGCAAGTGTACTGCTCAGTTACTCACGCGGCCCGGAGGCCACGGCATGGTAGTGGGCTGCGGCCCATAGGTTGGGGACCTCTGTGATGCTTATGAGCATCAGATGCTCATGTTGGCCATAATAACGTATGCTTGGGCATGGTCACATTCCCTCTAGACTATTGCAACGTGTTTGGTGAAGGACTACATTTTGAAAAGTGTCCAGAAACTGCAACTGATGCAAAATATAGGAGCTAGGTTGCAATTTGGTAGAGTTGTCTGGGAAAATATGTGGTTTAGGCTGAAATATATGTTCCTAATTTACTTCCTGAGAACAATTTAAGACATTGCTATTAAACTACCTTGTTTCATAGATTCCAAATCTATTCAGATATTAAGGTATAAAGAAGAAATTGTTGTTTTTTTGCAGGCTATAGAATGTATTTCCTTCCAATCTAAATTAGGAAAATTTGTAAAGGTATCTATTTCATTTTTCTGCATTTATTTATTTGTACCCTATCTTTATTATGCCTACAAATAACTTAAAGCAACGGACATACCTAATACTCCTTCCTCCTCCTATTTTCCCCACAACAACCCTGTGAGGTAGATTGGGCTAAGAGAGAGTGACTGGCCTAAAGTCATCCAGGTGGCTTTCGTGGTTAAGGTGGGATTTGAACTCAAGTCAGCCATTTTCTAGCCTGGTGCCTTAACCACTAGTATCTCCCTATAATGGTCAATAATTTTATTATTAATATTTTAGTATACATGCTTCACTGTTTTATGTGTTTATTTGAATTGAAAAGTATCCTACAAATAAAAATAAATTCCTATGGGTGTTTCTTCTTAATTATTCCAAAGATTAAATAGGTGCAACTGAAGGAGAAAATACAAATGTACTAAATAAATAAATTTGGAACTATTTCTTCTTACTGAAGCATAACTATTTCTTCCACATAACTGGACTCCTCCATTATAGGAGAAGCTACAGTTCTGTAAGTCAGACAGATCATGCAATCATATCTGCAGTTTGGCAGCATGCTAACTGATAAATTTCCAAATGATTTTACTAACCATTGCTCTTGAGAAAATACTGAAATGTAAACTTAACTATAAAAAATAAAAAAATAAAATCTAGTGAGCCAGTTTCGGGTAAGTAAAAATATATGACCATTTGAGCTATAAAGCATACACAAACCAAAAAAGTTTTTAATGCTTACTTGGATTTATAATGTCTGCAATCTGGAAGTCATTGACACGACAGATCGGGAAAAATCGCTCCCTGTCAAAAAATTTACATATTCTTTAATTAGATTAGTCATACTATTTACTTCACCACTGTAATTCATAGTGTAATTGTTTCCTTGATATTGTATTGTATAGGGAGATAATAAAGGAAACAACTATAACTGGAGTCTTAAATGTTACAGAATAGTGCTGCAGAGTCCTACTATTTTAATATTCCCTTTGAATTAGATGAGTTAGATTCAGTTTTTAAAATTTAAAGCAGAAACAGTCTAGGAGAAATATATGTTAATTTCACCGTAATACTGCATGACAAGTTACATGTTAAAATTATAGATTTTTTTTGAAGTCTTCCATCAGTTCTCAGGTGTTTGCTTGAACAAAGCTACCTTTGTAAAACAGTACAGCACCAAAAAGAAAATGAATCCTTGGAGTCAGTAAGTTCTATCAGCATGTATAATTACATAATAGAAAGGCAATGCTGCATTTCAGACCAGTTAAAGCAATCACATGATTCCAGAAATATTCATTTGGTTTAAGGTGTACCAGGGAAATACTGTTGCATAATCTGGGATACATTTTTACTTTAAAATCTAAAGCAGTATATAGCTCTAAAAATAATATAATCAATTTCACTGAACACAAAATGAATTCTTTATACTTTTATTGCCACAATAAAAGAACCATCTAATCTAATACGTTTTTTAACAGCAGAGAAACACACTCCCACATTCAAATTCATACAAACAAAACTAAGCCACAAAGAAAAGCAAATATAAAACATGATTTCAGGATACTTACATATTAATAAATAGATTTCCTATGGGTAGAAAGCCTTCAAAAATCTGAGGATATGCTGTTTCAAATGTCACTGGCATCTAATTGAAGAAAATCAATAAGGAATAACTAATGAAATATATAATTTTTTCATCCAGTTCCTCTGATAATATAACATTCATTTATAGCAAGCTATCTATATATAGTGGGATATCACAGTCCACATTTTCACAGGACTGTGTACCCCTACAATAAGCTTCAGGACTATACATTTAATTCCAGAACATTGTAATTTTACAATAATCAACTTCATAGATACTGGTATAATCCATCTTCAGAAGGGTATAGAACTAGAGTGTGATAATTATTCTGTTTCTAGTAAATGAAACAAATCTTCACCTAGTCATGAGGAATCTAAAAAGTCACCACATTGTCTAGATTCTTCATTTATATTTTAACTATATATCTATAGATTAATTAGATATCCCTATCATTAACTGGTGAACATTCTATGCTATGAATATAAAATTTTAACAGACAAAATATTATATGTAGAAACAGCATATTCTCAAAGGAACCAAACTTTAGAAAACACTCTAGAAAAATTCTGGGAAGTTGTTACTAGTCAGGGTATATACCTGACTAGTTTAGTTTGCTAAACTAGTTTGCTTTCAGTTTAGTGCCATGTGTAAACTAGATTACAACAATGGGTTTAAAACCATCTTTAAGAAATTCTTGGGTTCCTGTGATGTTTAAACCCAGCATAAATAAAGCTGTCATTACTCCAGAACAGTATGCAAAACAATTTCATGTTGAATAATCCAGTGAAGTGCTTTGGCTCTATCTCATTTACTATAAAAAAAGAACAATCAGGCAGAGAGAAGGTACATGGAACCACATTTATCTTGGATAACTAAGACAGGCAAAACTTGTAGTTCCCTGCTTCCAAATACTATATATATTAGTATATATATATTATTAATACACACACACACACACACATATAATTATTTGCCACCCATTTTGTGACTTAGGAGACTATGAACTACTATATGAAGCATACTTGCCCAAAATAATGTTTTTCCCATCTCCACAAACTGTAGATTATGATTGCCAGATAAGGAGCTATTAATTTATTGCAATAAACAAAAATCATGGTAGCAGCTTAAAGATCAAAGATTTTGTGTACTATCAATCTTAAGACAACAATAAATACAATAAATCTGTTAGTCTTCAAAGATAAAGTAAAACAATATAGGGAACTACTAAGATTCCACCTCCTTCCAGTTTCAATGCATTCCCCATTCTTACCATGTAAAAATGTTCCACACGGATTCCATACACACTTTGCAAAGCTCTCATGAAAATCATATGCAATATTTCAGGCTAAAAAGAGAAGTACAATTTAACACAATTTACAATAATATATAAATTTTATTTTACTTAGAACCTATTTAATTTGCTTATAATTACCAGAGTGAGAACTCTGCAAAGTTCAAGATAAGTTCAAGGCAAAAACTTAAAATACGTTAATGCATATTAAGAGTGCATTTTGACATCATTTCTGGTTACAAAATTAACCCTGTGGGCAAATAAAATATTCCTAAATCTTCTTCACGTCTAATTGTGTAGCTGATGAAAAAAAACCTTAAACTTACAACAAATGTAAATATAACATTCCACATTTTTTTTAACAGACTGGAATATGCTTTCACTTAAGAAGCTGAAAATTACTTTACATGTCTATCAAGTCAAGTTTAGGCATTGTACTGTATTTAGAATGTAAGACATAGCATTGAGAAGACCCATTCAAAGCCATCCCTCAATATTGCAAGCTCAATTGGTGACTTAAGGCCAGTCATTCTTAGTTCAACCTACTTCACAAGATTATTGTTGTGAGAAATGCCTGGCCTGGTAACACAAGGAAGAAAGGAGAAAGTTTGGCAACTCTTAAGTTTTAAGATTCAACTGTTCAGGATAGAAAGGGCATATTCTAAATAACTGCTGATTGCCCACTACAAGTCACTGAATAACTGTTTTCTATAATTAGAAAATTAATTAGTAGAAATTAATTATTTTTAATAATATTCCTCCTACAGGCAGGTTCCAGAGAATGGGCTCATTGGACAAAAGAACAGGGAGAGCAAAAGAGTGTTTGCCAATGAAGTTTGGTAAAGGAATTCTCTAACAAATTTTTCTTCTAAGTGAAGAGTATGGATTTCTGAGAAGTAAACAAGAAAAAATTAAAGCTTTGAGTGTTAGAGCCAATGAAGAAAAGTAAGATCATTGGAGAGAAATCTATAGTCATAATATGTCATACTTGTGATTCTTGGAAGGAAAAATTGATGACTCATTAGCAGCACTTTATTAATGAAAGATGAAGACTTATCATATCAAAAAAGGAGGTAGTACTAAAAAGTGTACAGAGGAAGCAATTGGCTATAAGTAGACAAAAAAAGAGCAAATACAGTAAATGGAACTGACAATTAAAAGCAAGAGATGTAGAATTCTGTACCAAAAACTGAGGAAGTTTTCAAGCCTTTATGACAAAAACAAGTTTTTTAATAAATTTTTATTAATTTTTTATTTAAAAACAAAAACATAGATCTTTTATCACAATATCAACCAAAAGAAATAACACTAATCAATACATTCACGGATGTGTCCGGTGTCCCCCTCCCGCACCACCCTCTTCCACTTACCACACCTTCCTCCTCCCAACCTACCACCACTCCTCCTTCCTCCCTCTTTCCTACCTCCCTTCCTCACTCAACCACCCGTCTT